CTCTGTTTATATACCTTATTTCTCTGGTCTTAAAGTGTATTGTAGGTCATGGAATATAGTTAAAATTCAGTCATTTAAATGATGTAAAATTAGGGTGTTGGTGATGAAGGCAAAAGCAACATATAATACATTCTGTGAATAAGTTATAAAATCTCCCATCAAGAATTAAAATCCTTTAAAGTTTGTGGTCTGAGATAAAAAGAAGATAGACAGTATTGGTTACAAGCCATTATAAAAATGTCCTTTGTTCAGATGAAATGTTTTTTGTAAGCAGCTGCTTGTGTATGCTTCTTTTTAGTATATATTCATGTATAGTTTTGTATGTGTATCTATGTTTATACACTATGCAGCAAAATCATATGTATCATAGTTGTGTATATGTGCATATATATGTAAATATGTGAATTTAATTGTATCCCTCCAAGTTTATGTGTTGAAGGCCTTATTTATATTGTGGCTGTTTTCTTTTTTTTTTTAAATATATTTTAGAGAAGAGTCTACAGGGTGTTCAGGGTCTCTCTACTAGATCTACTCATAGTAATCCACCTGTTTACAGTCTCTCAAGTGTTGGGATTACAGGGTGTGCCACCATGCCAGGCTGGCACAACATTCCCAGGGATCAAACCCTCAACCCTTGCTCCTGCTTGCAGGAGCTTTAATCAGCTGAGCTACTTGGCCAGCCCTGTGTGGCTGTTTTTGGAAAGGGAACTTCTTCTCTTTTACTTTTTTTTTTTTTTTTTTTTTTTTTTTTTTTTTTTGGTGGAACCAGGGATTGAACTCAAGCCTTTGCACTTGCCAGGCTAATGCCTATTCTACTGAGCCATCTGCCTGGTTCCCGGAGAGAGCACCTCTAAGGTGATTCAGTTAAATTATTCCAAAGAGGGATAGCCCTAATTGTGTAAGATTGGTGACTTTATAAAAGAGGCCAGAGTACTAGATAACTCTCTGTCTCTCTCTGTCTCTCTGTCTCTCTCTGTTCTCTCTCTCTCTCTGTTTCTTTCCCTCTCTCTGTGTACCTTCTTTTGCACAAAAACAAAATGTGATACTGAAAGATAGCAGCAGTATCTTCAAAGTAACAGACACATCTCCCCAGAAATTACCTTTGCTGCCACCTTGGTTATGCGATTCCAACCGCTAGACCTACGAGTAAAATTCATTCTTGTTGTTTATGTGTGCCTGATGAATTTTGTCACAGCAATTTAAACCAATTAACATGGAGTTTGGTGACATGAAGGGAGGTTCTGCTCTAGCACATTCCTAGAACTGGAGTTTTGTCTTGAAACCTGGTGTTGGTTAGAGGTAGCACAAAATTTTAGTGTCCAGGACATATGGTTCACACTGATAATTTCAGAACTTTTGCAGATTGAGGTAGAAGGGTAGCAAGTTTGGATCAGCCTTGGCTATACTGAGAGATCTTGTTTCAGAAAAAAAATAGAAGTGAAGAAAGAGCAGGAGAAGGACAAGAAGGAGGACAAAAAAGACGTAGAGGTTGAGGAGGAATAATGGAGAAGAGGAGATGAGGAAGAAAAAGTCCTTTTGCTGGAGATACTGATGGTAATTGTAATTCTGGTGGAGGCTCAGAAACAACAAAGAAAAGTTATGTAGGGAGACCTTCCCACTGAGAAGTTGTATGACATAGGAACACAATATTGCTTGAAATATGAACAAGTTGCTGCTGAATAAACATCTCAGATGGAAAAGAGGAACACATTATTGGAAATTGGAGGAAAAACAATCTTGCCATGAAATGGCAAAGAATTTGAGTGAATTATGTTCTAGTGTTTTGTGAAAAAAAAATAGAACCTGTGACTGGTATATTTAGCAAAGCTTATTTAACACAAATCAAAGAATTGAAAGTATAGAATAGAAAGTGTTTCTCCTCACTACTTATTGTACAATGTGAAATGAGAAATGCAAGTTCAAATAATTGTGAAGAGAAGAGTCAGTGTGCAGCATGGTGGTGCACATCTGTAATCCCAGCACTTGGAAGGCTGAGGCAGGAGGATCATTTCAAGTTCAAGACCAGGCTGGGCTTCAGAGTGAATGCAAGGTCAGCCTGAAGTGCAGAAGGAGGCTCTGCCTCAAAAAGAAAATTAAAAAAAAAAGAAAGAAAAAAAGAATCAGAACTTGAAGAGTTGTAAAATTCCCAACCCATCCATCCATCTTGCATGACAACACTAAAGGTATGACTGAAAAATCATTCCACAAAGGAATACATGAAATCCTGTACACTTAATTATCCATCTCATCAGAAGGCATACACGGAGATGTAATAATGCCAGTAGAACCACTGACAACTGGGAGTAAAGCAAATGACATGTAGGGTGGAGGCACTGGCAGCGTAGTTTAACAGTAGGCAACCTGCTCAGTATATGCATGGTTTGGTGTTCCCAATGCCAAAGACAAGCAGCTGAAGGGAATGAATCCCTAGTGAGACAGAGAAGTGTCTGACATTCGTTTTGCCCTGTGCCAGCTGGAGGAAGGTCATGGCTTAGGCAGAGCAGCAAGCTGAGCACCTTCCCCATCACGTCCCTGTGCCGCTCCTCACCTCTTTCCTATGGCCCCGGACAACTTGTCTTGGTGTCCATCCCAACTACCTAGAGGTGTCCTCACTGGCAATTGGACTGCAGAACTACTTGAACATGAGTCAGCGTTGTTCCTGTTCCTGATATCTGTCAATTCAGACAACACTGTCATCTTTTTGCAGAAGGAGGAGGGCATTGTGGGAGGGTCAGGTCAGGAAGGGAGGACACTGGGCCCCTTATTTGCATCCCCAGAATTCATAGCAAGCCTTCTGCCCTTCCTTTCCTTGAAAGAGCTGCTGCCTAAATTTACAGTTCCACCAAGCCACTTCTTGGTTTTATTTTAGGAAGACTCGCGCCTTTGTAATAACCCCAGTGCTGCAGCACAGAGCCTATGAAAATAGAGACTTGCTTTTGTGTTTCTGTGATTCTGCTGGTGTTTTATTTACCAGGCAGTGTAGACTCCAAAGGGAATTTTAGACTCAGCTGTGCAGAGAATGATCCCTTCAAAATACAGAGCAATAAAGTATCAGTACCAAAGAGCTCCAGAAAGCAGTGACCAACAAAGACCAGTGACTGAAGCCATCACCCAGGATGCTAGAGAGTGATAGCCAGCAGGGGGAGGGACAGCACCTGGTAGGGTCAGTGTCTGGTACTAGTTGGCATCAGATGGCGGTGACCTCGCCACTCAGGATGTGGAGCCTTGCACCTGTTTCCTCTTCCCGCTTTCACATTTTGCAATCCAAATGCCTTTTCTTACTTTTCTTCTTGATTTATTTTCGATACTGGGGGAAGGGGTTAGAATGTAGTTCTTTTGTACAGAGTTACATCTCCAAGAAATTTTAATTTTAATTATACTTTATTTTTAAGATTTGAAATAGGATTGTGCTAAGTTTGCCATATGGGGTTCCAAATTGTGATCTTCCTGGCTCAGCCTAAAGTGCTTGGCTGGTGTCTGAGCCATCACTGCGCCACCGCACGTGACCCTTTGGTTTCAAGCATTCATTACACAAAAGGAATCTTGCCACAAATTTAACTGCCCATTTTGTGTAACCAATGCATGACTCAGATTCGAGTTAGATGAGCCTTTATAATTGAAAATGATGCTGGCATGAGCTAAGACTTCTGGGACTTTTTCGTGTAATGAATGTATTTTTGTGCAAGAAAGACATGAGCTTTAGGGGGAGCAGAAGACAGAACGTTAAGGACTGAAGCGTCTTCCCATCCCACATCTGGTGTTAGTGGTTTCGCTCCCAACGTGGCTATACCTAGAGTTAGGGCCTTGAAGGAGGTCATCGCAGCCAGATGAGGCTGTACAGCAGAGCCCCCATCCAACGGGAATGGTATTCTTATCAATAAAAGATGAGACACTTACTGGCCGTCAACCTTCAGCTTTTAGTTTCTAGTTTGAGAAATCAAATTTCTGATGTTTAATCCATTTAGTTTGTGCTTTGCTATGGCAGCCTAGGTAGATTAATACCTGCGTGTGTAGACATATATGTGTACATGTAGCTAGATAAGAAAAACAAGCAGAAACACAGAGTGAATGCAGCAGATAGAAATTGGAGAATTTTCATATGAATAGATTAGAGTGTATATAGGGACGAGGGAGATGGCTCAGTGGAATAAGCACTTCCCTGGCAAGCGCAAGGGCCTGAGTTCCATCCCCAGTTCCACAAAAAAAAGAAAGAAAAAGAAAAAAGATTAGAGAATATGATTCAAAACAAGACCAGATACCAGACAGAGGTTTTTTGTTGTTTGTTTGTTTGTTTGTTTTTACCAGAATTGTCATCCAAAGTATTTTGTGAGTCATCTCGTGATATGTTTAAGCTGATGGTCTTGAGAAACTCAACAAAGTATTTCTACTATGCTCTTTGAAATTTCTGTAGACCTAAAGAAATCTATGTAATAAACCTCATGTAATTCTCTAAGATATCTCTAAGATAATTCTGCTATGGAAACATCAGATATAATCTAGTAAAAGATAAATATTATACCCGTGTGTAATAGAATACATGATGTCCTTCCAGAAGATAGAACTAATAAAGCCCAAATATAGTTTTAGTCTTTTCATTCTTAACTACTTACTGTTATAAGGTTATTTTTATGTTTCAGAGTGACCCAATATCTCTTTTTTAAAGACTTTGTTCTGTGTGTGAACTATTATACAGGTAAGTTAGATAGAAGTGAATAGGCAAAGAGGAATCTGGCTTTGAGAAAAATACATGCAAGCCTCCACAGGGAGAAGCAGAAATTTGGAAATATATTATAATTAGCACCATCTGGTGCAGTAAGCTCAGACAGACACCAGATACAAACATCCGGGTGCGTGAACTCACACATCGTATATCTAACAGGTTGGCAGCTGAAACCACTGTAATTCACAAAGAAGAAAATCACCTTAGAGGACACAAAATAAATCATGAAGAATGAAAACAGAAAAATCAAAATGTTAAATGCATTTTTAAATATTATAATATTCCTTCCGGGAGTCTCGCGGTTCCCCTCACGGTCCTGGGGCTGCTTCTTTGGGGGGTTCCTTGGACCCACGGACGGCGGAGCGACGTGCGCGTCCTCACGGACGAGAACTGGAGAGAGCTGCTGGAAGGAGAGTGGATGGTAGAATTTTATGCTCCATGGTGTCCTGCTTGTCAAAATCTTCAACCAGAGTGGGAAGGTTTTGCTGAATGGGGAGAAGATCTTGAGATAAATGTTGCAAAAGTAGATGTCACAGAACAGACAGGAATGAGTGGACGGTTTATCATAACTGCTCTTCCTACGATTTATCACTGTAAAGATGGTGAACTTAGGCGCTACCAGGGTCCAAGGACTAAGAATGACTTCATAAACTTTATAAGTGAAAAAGAATGGAAAAGTATTGAGCCTGTTTCATCATGGTTTGGTCCAAGTTCTATTCTGATGAGTGTTATGTCAGCACTCTTTCGGCTCTCTATGTATGTCAGGACTTGCTATGACTATTTTATTGAAGACCTTGGACTACCAGTTTGGTCATCATACACAATTTTTGCTTTAGCAACTTTGCTTTCAGGATTGTTATTAGGACTTTTAATGATATATGTGGCCGATTGTCTTTGTCCTTCCAAAAGGCGCAAACCACAGTCATATCCTTCAAAAAAACCATTATCGGAATTTTCTCAACCTTTGAAAAAAATGATCGAGGAGCAAGAAGCTGCTGCTGAAGATATTTCAGAAGAAGTAGCGGAAAGTAAAGAAGGAACAAACAAAGACTTTCCACACAGCACCGTATGACAACGCCCTGTGGGCCCATCATTGCCCCCAGATCAATCCTAGTTAATTTTTATAAATATCTTTTAATACCATGATTCTGATAAAACAAAATTGATGGTTTCTTTTTTTAGGTGAAATATTTCAGAGTTCAGTCTAGATTGTCATCAAACATTTTTATTCAGAAAATATAAGCAGGTATAAAAGTTTAAAATACACGATCTGAGAAGATTGAGGTTTAAACAGTAGCTTAATTTTAGAAAATCTGGTGCCAAGCAATAAGATTTATGTGTGTTTAATAATAACCTCTTTTCAAGACTGAGTTGAAAAATCGTATTTCCTAAGATTTACATTAATTGGGGGTATTTAAGAAGATTATTCAGAGAAAAAAAATTCTCATTTGATGTATTTTTTTCTCAGTTTCACTGTGTGAAAAAAA